ATTATTATTATTATTATTATTATTATTATTATTATTATTATTATTATATCATTATCAAAATAAAAATATTGGAAAATATAATGAATTTGATTTATTCAAAACTTTAACTACTGTTATTTGTTATTATATAACTTAAAAGCTAAACCTGTAAAATTATGAACATTGGGAAAAAATTAGTTAATATGTTATAGAAATTATCTATGTATAAACAGTTTAAAAATTCTTTTAGGTACCCAGTAGGTAATATAGAATTATTATTGTTTAGTATTTTCATAAATCACCAAATAACATTAAAATGTTACGCAATTTTTATGAAATTAATTTATTCATGTATAAGTTTGTTAAATGTATTTAATTTTTTTTTTTTCATATCTTTAATTAAATACTTGAGTGGTATAGACATTTCATTCCTTTAGTTTAATACTTAACGTATCTATTTGTACGTATTTTATGCATTTTTTAATACTTAAAAGTTTTTTATTATAGTAATAACAATGTTATCCAATTCATGAATGGTTCAATAAATTTCTTTTCAAATCCAAACCATTATTTATTTTCATTATAAATTTGATTTTGTTTGATTTAAAATTATTTTAATATTTTGGAACACATTCAAGAGTAAAATTAGAAGTATTTCAACGCTTTGATTTCTTATGTATAACGTACCTACCTTTTTACACATTGGACTTATTAGAATATTTTTATTGACATTTAAAAACAGATTTTTGTAATTTATTAATATAATAACATTTTTAGCACATAATATGTATAAATATTTTTTTCTTTCAATTTAATAGATTAATACTCTGATAGCTAATCATTTTATTGATTTCATGAAATTATTTAAAAAATGTCATATCTATTTTCTTTGATATTTTACATTAAGATTGACACTTTAACTTTAGTATAATAATATATTATATTATAAGAATACACTCATATTAAAATCATCTGACATTTTTTTTTTCTATTTATTCAAACTTATTTATTTTTATATTTCAGCATAAAATATAAAAACAACATTTTTATAAAATATAGGTAAAACTTGGTAATAGCAAACTGAGTATATTTATATGTATAAAATTTTTCTCAAACTATGGTATATTTTTTAGATAACTCATATCTAAATAAAATGTATTAATTGATTTGTCATTTTGTAAATTTTTAAAGTAAAAAAAAAAACAATATTTTATTCATTACATTTAAAACTGTATAAATAAAATGATCTTCAGATAATTTAATACTACAAATACAAAGTTCTAATTGTTTAATACACAAATTACGAAATAACTGTAATTCTTCACATTGAACATAAACCACAATATGCAAATAAACCTAATTGAAATTTAATAGATTGCTATTTTTTTAAACAACTTATTCTTTAAGTGAATCTTACTATCTTAATAGTTACATTCATAAATTCATATTTACTAAAAGTGCATATTTATACAAAAAAAGTTTTCTTTATGATTAAAAAATGTAAAATCTGAATCAAAAATATCAATTAAGTACTTATTATTTTATTTTATTGACATTTCCATTAGTATTAAATAAGTAGGTTTTTGTATTATGACTACAATATGTATTGATTTATTATTACTTATATGTATTATCTCTTCTGGTTATTATTTTTTTTTAAATATACAATAGACATCTTATTGTTTGAAAATAGTCATTGATTTTTTGACTTTTTAGGTTAAATTTTAAAATTTTGAATAAATAATAAGAATAATCTTGAATAATATTTTTACTACTTGTGCTGCTGTTTTATCAAAGGTTTTGTTATACACCTAAACGTATAAAAATACTTCTGAATAAAGAAATCTATGTATTTTAGATTAAAAAAAAAAAAAATGATTAATAATATTTCTGTATTTCATTCACCATGAGTACATTCATATATGGTATAAATAATGTATTTACTGGCTGTTGGAAATACTATTTTTCAATATTTTAACTCCAATTATTAAACATCATAAACCAGTAATTATTATTATAATACATAATTATCAAAGTGAGCAGCAGCTGTACATAATATTGTTATCGAATTGATATAGACTTTTGAGAACATTAACCCTCTCAGTGTGCTAGTGTATTGATTCGACAAAAACTTTTTTTTTATCTAACGGCAAGATTACATTTTAATTTTTATAATTAAATACTATACGCTATAAGTTATAAGTTATAACCAATAAGGTAGTCGGTAGAGCAGACATTTAAAATGCTTATGCCCTCGTGCGATTACAATATCATAAAATTAAATTTTTATACAGGTATCAACGTAGGTAAATTTGGTGATCTCTATACAGACTACAACTGTACAAAATTATTTTGAACGAAGAAAGTTCTCACTCAAACCACGAAATAAGATATGATACCAGCAAAAATTTAAATAATAAAACCACTACAATTTTAAAAAGGCAATACGGTTTTTTAAATTGAAGTACAATTTGTTTAGAGTTGAATTTCAATCAGCAGTACAAAGAATTAGTACGTTTTACACTGAAATACTAACGCTGGTCGTAGATATCATGTAAAGACATCAGCCAACTGAAAATTATATACACTCGTTTAATTGAAATTATTTATTATTATATTAACGAAGTCAAGGAAGTTACTCGGTGATGTGAAATTATAAGTTAGAAAATTCCACCAGTGTTTCTCAACGAAGTGCTACGTCTTGGTGGTATAATATTGATAGTATAGGTACGGCCAGAAATATTAAAGGCATTATGGTTCCAATCCCTTTTAATCTTTCGAATACAATTTTGTCTCTTATTACAAAAGGGTTATTATATAAACTAGCAAAGTTGGTAGACCAAGTTACAAAAAATTAAGCAGTTTCTCAATGAAACTTAACTTACAACAAACAGCTGAACTTCTAAAATCTCTCAATAAGTTACTAAGTTGTGTATCATATCATTTATATTAAATGACGCGCAAGCTTATACTTACGACGAATATGGGAAAATAAGAAGCATTTGAGATGTGTAAAACAAAATTTAATATTGTAACCTTACTTCAGTACATGTCTTCGTATGTGAAATGTTACTACAGATGCATCTGTTTATGCTATAGAAGCAATAATACTAGACTATAAAAAAATTAACCTGTGTCCTGCTAGTTGATAGCAAGTATCACAGACTTCTCAATATACATAGCTTTCCTTCAAAAATCGTCAAAACTCTCAAACAAAAAGATAAAACACACGCAGATTAAATAAGCCAATTTATAACCAAACATAAATTGAATACCAAGACAGTAAAGATAATGTTACATCAGATTTCTCATTGTAAATTGAAGCTATTGTCTTCCTTATCATACTGGACTATGAATCAAGCTCACAATTCTCCTAGAACTCGCGGTGCAGTATTGAATATATTTCACAAGAAGCACAAAAGTCTTTGATGCCCTTTGTTTTGTCAAATATTGTATCATTGTATCATGGTTAACAATCAAGATAATTATGTACACGACCTGTCAATCGCACATCCTATATATAAGTTATATATAATAATTAAATAGCTTTCCAAAAGGATACATCAAAGGGAAATTGGTCAAATTATGGACCCCAGATAAGGGAACGGAGACACCATATAAAATAATGTTACGTTACAGCACTTTAAAAAGTACTAGGACACTATAGGTATATAGCCGTTGATCCCACAGCATCTTCACACCTTACACTTTTATACTCTTCATAAAAATAACTTGTGTTTTATTAAATAAACCATTATTTCAACTACAAATTGACCTAAACAACTTGGTAATTTAATCCACTACATTTTATTTACGAACCGCACGCCAGCTACAACTACAATAAATTACAAATCAACTAGCATCAAGAAAATGGCCCAGAGTCAAAACTCCAGACTTCAGTATATAATATATATTTACATTAAATACAAATCTTGTATAAAAAATAAATTAAATTTATTGTTAATAATTCATTTATTGTGATACATTAACCACTAACATACACGTAATATGTATATTAGTGAATTTCAGGAAAACAATAATTCAGTATTTAAAGCGTAAGAAAAGGTAGCACACCCTAAACAAATAAGTAACATTGAAAAGAATGAAATTTAACTTTTAAAATAGATATTGCATTCAATATATCAATGAGCAAGTACCTACCCAACGTCATACTCGAAGCCTTTATCAGCTATGATAATATAAGTAATAATTATGCTAAATTCAAAATAACCTTAAACGTTAGAAAAATATTATAGACCTGATGAAAAAAAAACATCCATTACAAAAAATGAATGCAAATATTCACCAATGTTCAACATCTACTAAACTTGACTATAATTATTTATTAATCATTCCTTTAAGGAACGGGATATCTTTTTAACAACCGTTAGTAGTTTTTACTAATACTTAAGACTGCTACTCTTTTTACATTAATTGTTATGGTATCTACTACCTATACTATGTTTTAAAATTTAATTGTTCCTACCCTGTTTAATATATTAAATAATTTTTATTCCTTCTTGGTTCGATTTTTCGCGGATAATTTTAAATATTTTAAAAAAAGTGTTTTACCAAAAAATATTGATAAAAACCCATTTGTACTAATAAATATCATAATACAATTATCGATTAAGACACCTAAAATGTGTCCTCATAAATAAAAATAAATTACTCCAACTCAAGTCTTAGATGTAATAATAGTTATTAACTTTGGTAACTATTTTTGCTTAACTAGTAGTTTTCCTCAAAATGTTCTCCTAAAAATTAACAAATATTAATTCAATAGATTTCGTTTTTTCTAATTTTTTCTAAGGATGTAGATTAGTTAAATATTTAATAATTTATATTTTTAATAAATGTTATAATTATAGGTATATGTAATATATGTTTTAATAATTGTTATTATTTTTATAACAATATATTATAAATCCACAATATTTTGTTTTATATTTTTATTTGACAATCATAAGATATGATATTTTTCTAGTTACAAACAATTTTGCTAAATATACTTATTTAAAAAATATAAGGCTGTGATCAGATTTATTTTTATTTTAAATTCAAACGTGACAATTTTTATCACATTTAAAAAACGATTAAAATCATAGTAAGTTAGTGAGAGCCAATTTCCTAATTATATGTGTTTATGATATTTTTAATATTTTAATATACAACATGTGTTTAATTTCAAATTGAATGACAGGAAGATTTATACTTAGACTAGTAGACTACTTTTACTGCTGAAAAATGCTATCCGATAAACAATGTAAAAATACATATCATAAAATCAATAACTATTCATCTCTTTCATTATAATGATTAATAATCATAACAACTCTAAAAATACAGTTTATTTGAATGTAAATAATTATTAATGAGTAAATAAATTTATATCACATATAAATAATATATGTATTGTTGATGTATTTGCAAAAAGTTGTTCACAATTTTTTTACACTTGTAAAAACTGTTGATCAAAATTTAAAATAAAAATGTTTATAGGAAAGTATATTTACGATTTCCGGTCGAAAGCTAATTCATGCAATATTGTAACAGTTAGTTATTATTAAAAAAATTGACACATAAAAAGATAATAAAATAAATGAATAAAATATCATGCTGATATATACTATTACACAAATTAATAAGCTGTATCTCCTTCATCGTTTGGCTCAGAATCTAAAAGAAAAATTAATATTTTACTAAAATGTATATGTTAATTTTAACTAATGTAGAAAAATAAGTTATAAATAGTTTATACTACAATAATAAATGGAATGCGAATTATTGGCTGCATATACTGTATAGTCTTTGTGTAATAAAAGTATTAATTGTTTACCGATAGGCGCTTTTGAAATGTATTAGTGTATTGTCCTCATAAATGAATATAATTTAAAGGAAAAGGATTTTACAGCTACCATAAAAAAAAATATATATATATATTCTTTTAAAAACTATCCATAACCTATTAATAATCTTAACATCAATATTTATGGTCTATATTTATATATTATAAAATATAACTATACTATTATACAGTTAATATAAATTAGAATATTTTAATATCAAAATTAGTTCAAAAACATGTTTCAAATACAATTAATCACATAATTTAGATAGTAGGTAGGTGTTGATTACTAAAATATTTACGAGTTAAGAAATTATTGCATTATAGTTATTAATTTATTATCAACTATAGTAATTCAATTGAAGCAAAAGTTTCTTTTATCGTGATGTTTTAAAAATTGGTTATAACATATTTCAACTTCATGAATATAGCCTTGGAATACTCTTCCAAATTCTAAGCTCAATAGTATGATCTCATCATCTGAATCGTATTCTAATTCAGTAGTCATTAACTTTTAAGACTCAAATTGCATATTCATATTCAAAAATTAAAAAGGTTTTGCAAGACGTATCGGAAAAAAATTGAAAACTGTATAGCCGTATAGGAAGATAATCTAAATTAAAAAATGCTTAATTTGTAAAATGTTAAAATGTTACTTAGGTACAACTTATAAGAATAGAAATTATAGAACTGTCTGATAAATAATAAATGTAATTTTATGTTTTATTTTATTTTATTTCTAATTTAGTAGAATAATTTATACACAATGAACTTAAAATTAATTTATAAATAATACCTCAGCTTTTTTTATTAAAAATTTTAACCAGGTATAAACTAATATTTCACCGTTAACGGAAGAGTTACTTTTAATTCCTATGATAACACAATTGTATTATTATTATTTTATCAACCTATGTTCATTACCTATCTAATAATATTTAGTACCATTAATTAATGTATTATAATACCAAGATTTTTGAAAAAAATAACAATTGAGTTTACTTTAACAATAATTCCTTCAATTATTTGAATTTTTATTGTCATTTTTAATACCTTCAATACGTTAATTATGAGTACTTAAAAGACCAATTAAATATCTTAAAATAATTATCTTAACAACTATTACGATCTTTGAATATAAATAATTCTTATCATATACATATTTATATTTATTAAACATTGTATTTGAATCATAACAAATTCACTACTGATGAATTAAATATGTAAATAAAAAAAACTTGTTTAATTGAAGTAGATAATAAAATTATTGTTCCATTCAAATTTAATATTCAACTAATAATTCATTTTAGAACAATTCCAAATAAACTATAAATATTTATATATAATATCAGAACGAATAAATTCAATTAAACTTTTTATAAACCCTTCTGGCATATATTTTGGGCTTTGGCTAATGCTCAGAAATGTGTGGAATTAATCATAGATTTATACCAATTCAATTTATATTAATTAATTTATTGAATTAAACAACAGCTTCTAGTAAAAGAGATTAAATGAAATCAAAGCATTAATTTGTTAAATTAAAATTATTTATTTATTTGATCAATAATGTCCCTCAAGTAGCAACAATAAATTCTATTTTCTATTTTCTTTTATTATAACATTTTTTTTATGCTTAAATAATTTTATTAAAACTATCAAAATTAATATTACTTTTATAAAAATGAAGAAAACAATTTTGTTGTAATAAAATATATTTAATATTTTCTTAGGTACCTATATAAATATAATATTATATAATGTATCATAATTAATTATATTAGACACAATATATTATTGAATGTAACTTTTTTTAAATGCTCATAAAATACAATTGACGAGCTAAATTTTAAGAACAGAATCAAAGAAAGGCTTCCGAGTTGTAAATCGGTAGTTAATAACCAAGAAGTTAAAAGTTGTACACCCATTAATTTTTAAAACTGTTTTATTATACATCTGCAGAGTCTCACGTGTGTTTTACGGTGAAGAATTTATCATTTCACCCACCAGCTAATATTAAAACCACTACTTTCTACTTTTATTTCTTATCGAATTTTTATTCACATTATATCATGTTTGATTTAACTGCATATTATCTCATTCGCGAGACATATATATATATGTATTTTAAATTCTTGTTTGCCTTTTTAATACCTATATACGTAGTTGACAATAAATTAACAGTTCTTATCATTGCCCGCCTACGTGCTAACGAATTTCGTAGGTACACTTGTAGACGTCAATAACTAACACGCGTGTTATAAGGATAAAATAATAGAGCTTTTGATCGCTCAGTCAACAATTCGTTATCGAGTCGGACGCCTCCTATAACGGATGTACTGTCTACGTCCTGTGCACACTGGTGTCACCTCTGCAGTATTGTGAAAACGCGTCGTAATGCGGCGTGACAAAAAAAATTGGAAAATGTACAACGGCCTTCCCGTTAAATACCTATAATATAATACGAGTACGATATCGTGTCGTTTGTGTTCGTCGCGTGTCGCGCTCTTGGCGTCCGCAAGCCGCATCTATACGCGCGGGTAAATCGTAAAAGTCCTTTATTGTTGTACCTAAATAAATACCATAGGCGTGCGCACGGGGGGTTCTGAGTGTGCCTGGGCACCCCCGACATGCAATTGGGGCCCTAAAATTTAAGTCCTATAACATACTAATGGGTCTGCATTTTAACTATAATGTTACACTAGAATAAAAATGTTATTTTATTTAAAATATGTGGTAAAAAAAAAAAATTATGTTTCGGAATAAAAAAAAAATAATACAACGTAAAATATTTTAAATCTGCGTGGTAAAAATTATTGAGATTACATCAATTATGAGATGTTATTGACTACAAAAGTAAAAATAATAAATATATATTGCAATTATCTCAGAAATAGATTTTAGATCTAACTATTTAATGACATATTTTAGGTATAACTTGGTACCTACCAGAATACTGTTATTAATAAGTAATACAAATACTATTTGGTTATTAATGAGTTTAATTATTAAAGTAATAGGCGCATGTTATTATAAATTTATCATTTTTATAGTAGAATATTAAATTAAAAAATGTAAATAATGTTTATTAGTACAATTATAATTTATTAAAACAAATGTACATGTCTTGTTAAAAAAAAGGCCTAAATTAAGAAAAGAGCCCGAAAAAATTGTAGGCACCCCCCCGGAATTCAGGTCTGCGCACGCTCACGATAAATACATATATATACACACATACGTACATAGGTATATAGTATATGAGTGCAATAGGTATTATATCGCGACGACGACAGCGCATTTTACAGGTAAGCGGTGCACTGCTGCTGCAGGTATAGATAGATGGATAGATATATAGTTAGATAGATAGATAGATAGATAGATAGTATATAATATTATGATATCGTAATAGCTGCGATGTCCTAACACAAAGATTACGGTGCCGACGCAGGACGCGCGTCGCCGCCGTCGGTGTGCGAGGATCGCGTACGGCGCTGCAGTGAAATACGTAAAATCTATATTTAGGGCTCTCGCCGCCGCCGCCGGCGGTGGCGCGTCGTCGTCACGTCGGCGCTCTGCGCTCTCGACTCACGCGCCCCGCCGATGCGACGATGCGCTTTACGCCCGTCATCCCTCTCCGACGTTCGCTCCGCGTCCCCGAGGCGTAAACACACGCAGCATCGTTCTGTTATCACTCTCGTTCGCTCGTTCGCTCGTTCGCGCGCACCACACGGCGTTGGGTTTCACACGGCCGAACCGAAGAGTGCTGCTGGTGGCGCTGTCGGACATTATTACGACAAACAGTGCCGCCGCGAGAGTCCAAATTCCGACGACGACATCGACGACGACGACGACAACGTACAATCGACGACGACCGTAAACACAACGATGCTGACCGCGCCGGGCGAACGGGACGCGGTTTGGTCGTGTTCGGTTGACGATACCTGCTGCAGTCGTTGAACGCAAACGGCAAGCGCCTCCACAGCCGCCGCCACTGCCGCCGCACGCCGGCCCGATCGACGGTCATGGCGACCGAATACCGACAACGTCCCGGCATGGGCGACCATTTCGACGACGAGGTAAAACGCGCGCACGACATGATATATATTTTTATAAACTCGCGATTATCGTAATATAATAATTAATAAATAAAAACAATAACAATGACGCGCCGCCGCCGCCGCCGCCGCCGCCGCGCGAACAGTCGAGTCCGCGGCGGAATCGTTGCCCACGTCATTGTAATATCGACGACGGTGTCGCGTGTATGATAATGTAGGTACACGCGACACTGGCTGGAACGTGGCGCGAGAATATAATATGTTATTATTATGAGATATTGTGTTTATTGCGCTACTGAGAATAATAATTGCGCGTATACGCGCACCGACGTGATATAAAAAATTACCTAGGTACGTTAAACGTCCGGTTATTTTTTCACTCGAATCCGTTGGTTTTAAACAAAGCGGTTTTTTGTTTTTGTTTTTGTTTTTTTTTTTTTTTTTGATTAGTATTTGATGTTCTTTGTCTTTGCTTTTGAATTTCCGTAAACATTTAGATTCACTATATCATGATGGATGTAGACAATTGCAATATAAAATATAGTACGATAACTTCAAATTTTTATACTTTTATTCGTCCCATTTTCGTTCCAAGTCATTAAAATATACCTATTATAATTAGGGCTGGGATTTGTATGTAAATACATATTTTTAGTGAAACACGATAAATTAATTATTGCAAATGATAAATTCGTTTCACGTAATTTGCAATAAAATAAGACATATTTTATTTTACATATTTTTACATATTTCGTCATAAATACATATTTTTACATACTTTGTAAAATTTTCGATTTTTTTTTACATACTTCGTAAATTTTGATGGTTTAGTAATATTTTATATTTTATTTCGATAACGGTACTCGACAAATTGTAAGTGTATAATGCATATAGGAAATAAGTAGGTTAAAATAAATATTAATAACTTGATTTTAGTTTATCTTATCTGTTTCTGTTCAATAACCATATCTTAATGATTTTAGATTAAACTTTATGTTCAACAATTATTTGACAAAATATATTTATGAATTTACTTTGTGATGTGGAACGCTCCTTTAGTAGGCATAAGTCAGTGTTAAGACCAAATCGCCGTACATTTAATTTTGAAAATTTAAAACAATATATGGTTTGTCATTGTTTCCCTTACGATTGATTAAACATCAATTTATTGTATTTCAATTTTTCTTAGTACATAATTTTTATTTTATACAACATATTTTTTATTTTATACTACATATTTTGGCAATTTTAATTACATATATAAGTACATATTTTTCGTTTTTTATTACATATAAATCCCAGCCCTAATTATAATATACGTAGACAGGTAATATAAACTCAGCTTTTACGAAACTTGTATTAAATTTTCAATATATGACACACTACATAATTTAACCGTCTTAGTATACGTTTTGAGATGCAAAAATAAATAATCTTTATTTACCAAAACTCTCGTCGTGCAACATAATGCGCAGTAAACAGGTGCTTCACTAAACACTTAGAATATATATATATACTTTATATGTGTGTATGATTTAGGTGTACATTATAATCATCAGGGGTAGTAAATGGGTAGGGGTGAAAATATTGTATACGTGCACGTTCAACACGTCCCACTTTTTTTCTGTTGACATAGGTACCTATGGCTAAAATGAGAAATAATTCTAAGTGCTGTATACACTTTATACCAATATAATATAAAACTATTTTTATTTTTTATATAACTGCTTTATGTTTTGATGGCCACGATGAGTGATGGCTCTTTGAGTTAATGCGTATTTACACAGTTGCACATGCCAGGGGGCGACCTCCCGGCACTCGTAAAACTGTCACTGATAATAATAACAATAATAAAACTCGATGACGACGGGGTAGAAAATACATAGTACCTATAATATAATATGTAATATGACAAGACGATTCTGATCGTATTATCATTTTCTCTAATACCATCAACATGACATGTAACCATGATATATTATAATATATTATTGGTTACATTATGTAGGGTAAAAGGTAGCACACTAACACTTATGCGACAATTTAATAGTCAGTAGATGACGCGATGGGCTAAAAATCGATAACTGAAAATATACCGTTTTCGCGTAAACCGCATTATAGTATTAATGTATTATACATGGGCACTTCACTACACGCGGGATAGTGATATCTATTATTTATATATTATAATGGCTAAATGTATTATCGATGCATACCTATAAATATTTTATCCATCAAAAGATTTCTTAACAGGTGAAAATTACATTTACGTCTACCTATTTATCAGGAAATTGTTTTCACGTATACGAATAGTTTATATTATTTAGTTTTTTTTTTCACTTGCAAACTAAATATACTGTTTTGATGTTTTAACATAATATAATAAAATGGATGCAATATACAATACAAAACCTCGAAAGAACGTATCATATATATATATTATATAGTCTAGTCTAGTCGTCTTTATATACATACACTATTTTTTTTTTTTATTTTTTTTTGATTAAAAAATATTGATTCATGACTGATGAAATACGAAACCATAATTTTTAACCAACATAGTAAAGCAATTAAGGAATAAAAAACGTCATTACATATTATGATGAATAATGGAATCACTTCTGAATTCCTCCAAAAAAAAAGTAATACAATATCATTTGATTAATCAATTAACAATATTTTCTAAGCAATTAACAGTTTTTAATAAAAATTTCTTATCTATAATACTAATTAATTATATTTAATGGCACATGTACTAGATTATTTCGGCTATTCGGCTATTTTGCAGACGTCCGTTGTATAAAAAAATATGATTTTATTATTTTTTAATAATTTTTTTAAATACTGAATATTATTATATTGGGATTAAACGATGTAGCGCCTGGGAGAAGGTTTTTTCTTACCTATAAAATATATTCAATAGTTATATAAGACAAACATATACTTGCATAAATAGAAACTATAAAAAAAAAAACACCTTAAGTTCTTCATTTTGCTTCAAAATAATAATTATGATGATAATATTCTAAAATTACGGACTAAATAATTGTTGAATGTATAATATAAACAATTATTTATTAACATACGCAATGCCAAAACTGATAATAAATTGTAGAAACAAAACGAATAGTTTTAGTTAATTCGAGTGATTTATAATAGTATAAAATAAATTATATATAATAGTTTATGATAATACTTATTTACGAAGACTTATTTATCATTTAATGGTGTTCTTGTATTTATAAAACGTATAAAACATTTTGAGTACTAAATTTTCCACAAATAACAATAATATAATATTTAATTGAAAATTGTTGAAACTACAGCTCACTTCGGTTTTTCACATTTCAACGTTTGTTATTTTTCTCACGAAATTATCACTGGAAAAATCTATAAATAAAATAACTGATAACTGGGGAACGGAATAATATGCAATAAAAATACAGAAATAACTACATAAATATGGAAGTATAATTTATAAAATACATGTGGAAAAAATTTAATTAAAAAAAAAAAAAAATGCATTAAATATTATTATTAAATTATCAAAATGATTTATTGCATTGAATAATTACAATTTCTTATAAATTATCGAATGTTAAATGTCACCTATTAGGTCTCTACTCTCTAAATATTTTTAAAATGATTAACGCTAAATGATCATTCCATATCAACCGATATAATTGGAGCATATACGTACTTGAAATGCATAATATCTGAAGGCGATCATTCCAAATTTTTAGAAAGGAGTATGCCACTCATTATGTCATTGATTGTTTTAAAATTAATATAGTCTGGATTTTTTTCTGAAATAGCATGATTTTTTTCCGACAATATATTAGGTACGACCGATGAATGGCTGTTTTTGTGCACTGCAGCATGGGTTGAAAACTTATGAATGATGAAATAATAAAATATGTTTAAAAATATTTACAAATTAGTGAAATATGTAAAAATATGTAATTATACCAAAATATTTTAAAAAAAAATACGTAAAATAAAATTAGCATCATTTTAATAAAAATCATTTAAATCGTGAACATTTCTTATCGAATCTTAAATATCTTGTTTTAGTAAAAATATGCATTTACATATAAATCCGTTCTCTATTGATAAGTGATAACTGTAGGTAAATAACTGATAGGTATAACTAATAAATGAACATTAAATTACGATAGAAATCAATAATCGAATAGGTAATGTGAAATATTTTACTATCCGAAACAAATCAGTGCACAAAAAATTAATTGCAAAAAAAATACATTCATCGTTTTGTTTAAAATGTAAATCATGACATTAAAATAATTTATTTCGTCACGGTTTTTAGGACCTCGTAATGAGTTCGGCCCAACAGCGACGAAACTGGCGTGGGATACTCATCGCACTTATGGTGATCGTTGCGGTCTTAGCTATGATAGTAACATCTGTAGTGTTATTGACTCCGCCTCAACCAGAAGAACTATCGGACTCGTATTCGGACTTGGATAGCGGTGATAGAACTGGTTCGGATTACTATTACAATCAACGGGCGAACGATGAACTTTGGTGGCGTCACCGAGGTATGAGGTCATTACGTTTATCGGATATACTAACAGATTCTGCTAACATAAAAGTATTCAATGGAACGTGGATTTCTGGTACTGAAATATTTTACGTGACCGGCTCTGGTGACTTAGCCATTATGGAAATTATGGCAGATGGTAATACACAGACTACTCACCGCATAATGTCTAAAAAAATGTTACAGGTACATATTATAACAATAATATATTATATATATTATAAATTTAAGGCTGAGGTCTTCTAGTACTTAAAAGTCTATAAATATGCATGCACTTATGCACTTAAAATCAAGAAATATGCTCTAAAACAATTAATAAAAATTACATTATGATTAGTTTATTAATAAGTACTTTAAATTAGTCTTTCATCGTCTTAATTTTTTTGTTTTCTTTCTTCGTTTTTACCTACTTCATCTTGAAATAAAAATATGACAGACAAATGAAGTTAACTAATCACTACCTAAACGCCTTTTGGTTTTATCGATTTTATCATCGGTCAGTTAGTAAATATTACCTAACCAATAATAAAAATATTATTTTTAAATAGACAATTTTACTAATTTGTTCTTTTTTTGTCTAAGCTAATTTAAGAACTTATTTTGAAAATTACCAAATATGTTCTTAATTTTTCTAATATACTCAAATATGCATTTATATGCAATATTATCAAAATATGCAAGAATATGCAAAATAAAATTTTAAATTTGATCTCCTAGTGTTATGAAACACATTTGTTGATCACTTTAATTTTTTACGTACTTTCTAAAAAAATATAAAATAACTTGAAGTCCTCAGCCCTAGTTATATATATATAGTTTATATTGCTTATATTATTATATAATATAGTCACATAAACAAGAATGTTTTTTGAAAAGTGAATTATTTTTCTTATAGAAATTAAAAGGTCCTCTGGTGTCATTCGAATTATCGCCAGATCGTAATCACGTGCTCATAGGTCATCAGGCAAAAAAAATAATATACTTACACGTTTAAAATAATAATAAACAATTAATTTTTAATTACCTATCCATTTTCATACAGTTATTCAGATATTCTAAAACGGCTCGTTATACGGTGTACACTGTATCAACCAGGTTAGTATTATTCGAATAGTTGTAAAGCACTTTTCGGTGTTGTATATTATATTGTTAACTATTTATGGTAGAGCCCAATGACTTTTAAATTTAAATTGCAAAATTATCATCTAAAAAAAAACCTACGTGTAATCTTTCGTAATTTTACAGCACATTTTAACTATACTGAATACTATAACATTTTATATTGTATATTTTGTAATTTTTGGAAGCGAAATGTATAAAAATGTTGGTACTTACGTCTAATAACATTTTGTCATTATAAATAAATTATCTACATATAGGTATAAAAAAAACTAAAATAATTTAAATGATAATTATTTTTATATTTTATATTATTAATGTTGATGTTAAAGTTTAATTTTTCACCAAATATTACTAGATTCAATTTGCTTATAATATTAATTATCTTTTAAGAAAAATAAATAAATTAATACATTTACTGAAAAATAGTATTTCATTTTTTTTTTCTTTGTTCAATTAAAAATACTTGTTACAGGTTTTAATTCTTTTTAAGACCATACTGTGTGATTTGGAAACATAAGTGTATTCTATTTAAATTCATAAAGAAAAATATGATAATGATTGTATTTATTTTTGTAGGCAAATGACTCCAATAACGTTGGAAGACCATGGAAACGAAACCATTTCTACTGATTTACAACCGTATTTGCAGCATGCTCAATGGCACAAGATTTCGACAGCGACCGAGAAAAGTGCAGAATCAATGGCATTGATCGTCGTGTATCGGTACGATGTATTTTACGTTCCATGGTCGATGAAAATATCGACAACTACTCCAGGTACCAACATCGGAAAGAATAATGTCACAGTAGATTCTCAGACGTTAAACGTCACCAATTCTTCATATACACCTACTTCCACTCCATCACTAAGCGAAAAATACGAAAATGTTGATGACAACAACACATCTTCTCACAATGTGACGTGGAAGCCATGGCCTCACGGTCCAGTACGCAGAATCACTACGTCCGGGTCCGGGCCATCGGTTACCACTGCCGGGGTTGTGAGCAATGGTATAGCTGATTATCTGTACGAAAGTAAGATATTATATTTAAAATATTTTTGAGTACAAAAATTAAATACATACATTATTATCGATACAGCGGAGATATTGAAGAGGTCCCCAGCAATATGGGCATCATCCGGGCGGTATTTGATGTACGCGACGTTTGATGATCGTCGGGTGGGAGAATATAAGTATTCAGTTTACACGAAGAGCGGACGACAACATGATCACGTCGATGATGACGATACTGAAAAACATTCTAAACAGCGAAAACTGAAACGACGCAGAAGGCGTTTAAGGCGAAATTCAAAACCTGTGGAAACACTAGGGACGACGGGAGATGACGGCACATCTGATTATTATTTGTACCCGCGTATCAGAACTCTTAAATATCCAAAAGTAAGTCTTAAATTTTACAAAAAACATTAGAAAGAAATTATTTAATAATATGATAATTAATAAATGTAAATTATTTTTAACTAGGCAAACACGCCAAATCCTATTGTCACTTTATCGGTGATCGTAAATCTCGATCAACTAGAAAATCCACAAATACAACCAAAAATACGCACCTTGACACCACCACCAATTTTTCAATTTACTGAGTGAGTGGTGATACAAACATAAATAGTTGATAATTGAATAAGCAGCTATAATAAATTTAATTTCCTACGCTACAGCGATTACTATTTCACGGCAGTTCAATGGGTGAACGACGGAGGCGTCGGTATTGGAAGTGGAAATCACGAGATCGACGATGACAAATCGAGTGCTTCGGCAGCTGAGGTATGTGTCGTATGGCTGAATCGAGCACAAAATACAAGCGTGACTACGCTCTGCAAATCGCCTTTATGGATGTGTCAAGAGGTACGTGAATTAATACTTCGTTGTATGCTGATATTATATTTATTGATTTACATAATACCAGTAGAGTATTTACAAGTGTATCTACGGGCTGGAAATGTAGAACTATAATATGCACGCCCGCTGTCCAGATACCAAAACTTAACTTTGCGCGCTAGTATCTAGGACTTAAAAATATGAAAAAATAGTTGGCTGTGTAGTACTGTATTAGCTCTAACAGCAGTGGTCAGAATTTTTGGGCAAATACGGTTAAGCTAGGTATTGCTTGTTATATAATATGTGTCTTGCATATAAGTGTGAATGTAAACTTAAAACTAATGACAAATGGGTAACTCGAATGGAAAAAGAGTAACTCAATGTTAAATATAGTATAACATAATATAATTAATTACGGTCCTTTTTGACTTAATAGAATAAAATGTATAATAATATAATGAATAATAAATAACTACGACTCTTTTAGTCCAATAGAGTATAATATATATAATATGTATAAAATATGTATATATCTAATAATTAATAAATAAAAATAATAATAATAACTCACAATTTGTGGAACGCAGACTAGCCAGCTGCTACCTTTACTAAAATAATAATTTTTTTTTTTTTTTTATTTAGTTGACCCGCGGCTACTAAGGCCATTGGGGTTTTTTTTTTAAGTAAGGTTGGTTCGGTAGGTTGTATTTTTTACGATTGATACGGTTGATTGCAAACACGTGTATGTGTGGCAAGGTTTTTAACCACTATGATCCCGAATGGTCACCCATCCGAGAGCTAGTAGCTGTGGCCGTTACTTACTCCCAGTGGCATTCCGCAACTGGAAGCAGCCAACGCGCCACGCCAAGCCACAAAAATAATAATATAAAACACGCCAAGGGTAAAATAGATAAGTCCTTATGACAACAATATTAAATATAAAAATATGGTATAAAAAAGTGGCGATTCACCCACATGATATAATAAAAAAGTGACGAATTGTGTAGTACTCGTTGAATAAGAAAAAAATAACATTATATATTAACAAATAATATTTGTAAAATCATATATTATATGACATGCATTGTACCATAACGGACTAACTAAGAAAACTCATGCAATAATAATATTATACGGATCATAACGCATCGCTATGTAATTAATATATTAATGTATTATATAAATCATAAAGATAATAATTATTATTATTCAAAAATAAATATACAAATATAACGGAGTGTGTGTGTATGTGTGTGTGTTTACCAGCTATTCTTACCGTGCCCGTGATCTACTTATATTATTTTAAATTAGTTATACGATATATTTTATTGGCGGAAACAATAAGAAAATACGATTTTCGTGTGATAGACCCAAGTAATTAACGCGGTGGGAGCTGTTGGCGGTGGCAGTGGCATAAGAGGAGGACAAGGAAGTGAAATCTTCAACAGTGATCACGCACGTCGTCGATACAGGCGCAATGGTAGCGGATTACAGAAATCATCACATGAAGCGGACGACGGAGTAAAAAACAACACTATCAACGCATCGTTCTCGTACCAAGAAGACCACCGAAGTCACCGCCAATCGCATCAGCACGGCCAACATAAACATAGCGGTCAACATCAGCATAACGGACACCATAGCCGTCGACGACGTGACGGATACGTTAACTCGGGTAACAACGAAGTGCCGAAAGGGAGGTATGGCGGTTGGGTTGATGCCACTGTTGGTGGGGCCGGTGGTGGGGTTCCATCTACCGGAGGTGGTGTCAGCGATAATAGCTACCGTACGGTCTCAGCCACCACTTGGTGGTCAGGAGGACTCAACATTAACGACGGAGGAGAAAACTTCGTAGGCGATGACGGATACGCGGGCATTGCCGGTTTCGGTAGCACTGGGACTGGAGCTGTGTATTCCATGGCTGCTTTGGTTCGTCGGGGATGGGAAACTGGTGACAAAGAACTAGCACCCCGAGCGCCAGTGTTCGCGGCGGATGGTCAGGGATACGTTAGTGTAGCACCGATTCGTGATGATGAGCACAACAACAATGAGGACCAAGACAGCGAAGGAGGGGTTCGTTTACGACGACCGACCGTAAAACACAACCAGTCATCTCGGGAGCGAAGCTCCAAAAGCCGGTCACAGTCATCAATTGGAAAGTATTATGCACAAGTAGTGGCTGTAAACATAACAAAGAAGTTATTAGCACCACTGACATTTGGTGAATTTGATGATGATAATGACAACAACAAAGCGGACAAAAAAAAAAGCAAAGTCGTCACTAAAAGCTGGATGGTAGTCAGGATTTTGGCATGGGACCAACAAACTGATATGATGTAAGTCATTTATCATATTTATTTGTGAGTTGTTAATAATTAATGCATTTCTAAACTTTAACGATCAATTCTAAAAATAAATGACTTTTAAATTAATAAGTGAAACTTATATTTCTTAAAAATTATGAAATATAGTCAAATCTATTCACGTTTATAATGTATATTTTCAGTATTCTAGATTTTATTAGATTTTATAATAATATATTTTTTAACACTATTAAGAATAAAAGATCCGCTACAAAAAATTAATATCACAACTTCTTTAAAATTAAAAATTGGTAAACACTACCAATAAAAACAATACTAACAGTTAGAGAAAATTGAAAAATATAATTATTAGACATGAACTATTATATTTTTTCCCCTTCATATTTTGTAGATACTTTCTTGCCGTACCATCTGGTCGTGGCGCACCACACCACCGTCATTTGTACGCAGTAAAGTTTACGCCTGCGGCATCTTCATCTACAATAAACACTGATGTTGGTTATCGAATGGGACACTTTCACCAACAACAGTTTCGTAAAACTTACCATCATAGCAATCGCAGTAGGCCTATATGTCTTAGCTGCAATATCGGCCTAATCGACAGCGTAAGACGTCGCGAGCGTCGTGAGTTTGGTGGAAAACAGAACCGAATGGACGAGGCACGAGACGATCGGTTGAGGCAGCAACAGCGAGAACGATGGGAAAATCAAAAAGAAGAAGAAAAAGACATTGATGAGGAAGCGGCTACCGCGGAAGGTAATAAATTCTTCTAAACAACGGAGGTAGGATATTTATAATTTATGATTTCCATATAGAAGCAGAACGCCGCCAGCAACGAAATCGTCGACAGCAGCAACGAGAAATTCAAAATCGTGGTATGCTGAGACACTGCACATACTTCGATGCCCAGTTTTCTCGGGATGGTAGCCATTATGCTTTGATATGTCTGGGTCCTTCAGTTCCATATGTGACATTACACAGAATCGTATCGAATGAAATTGACAATGCTGAAGATAACAGCGATGGTAGTGGCAGTGGTGATGAAGCAGATAGTGTTCCACTAACTACGCAGAAAACTCCTCAAGAGCCTTCCTACTCCTTTGAGTTAATTGCTCTTATGGAAAATAACACTCGTCTACAGGTAATATTTTAAAACTATTTTTAAGGCAATACTCGTATATAAAATATTGTAACATTTGACATGGTTTTTACAGGACAAATACACGAATCGAGTATTGCTACCAGGTACTAGAACTTTCCAATTAAGACTTTCTGGTGGTCGTAAACTAACCACTTCGGGGGGCTTGCATTTTAATGACCCACTTGATGCAGCTGATTATTATAGCAATGGTGGTGACCGTGACCATCGGCAACATTTTTCGACTAAAAAACCTCCAGACTCAGATCCCTTGACCGTGGCGCAAGTCAGATTGTATCTACCATTAGGTGTTTACGATCCAGAGGCGGATCCTCGCCCAGAATTTATGTCAAATCATATAAAAAAATCTGGTAACTCTGATAAAATCGATACTACTAATCCTGAAGTAACTACTAAAACAAGTGACATCTCTTCATCCAAGCACAGTCATCGGCGACGACGAAGCTCATCATCGTCTTCATCTTCCACGCATGATAACAGTGACGATAGTGGAAATGGATCAAAACGACAACGACGACCACGCAAAAAACAACGTCAACATCGTTTAAAAAAGTTGTATCCTATGCTTGTGGTAGTAAACTCAGACCCGGGGTCACAGGCTATCACTGATCGATTTTCTGATCGATTAGGCTATACGACAGGATTACTGTGCTCAGGTTCGTTAGGTAGAACACTACCAAGTACTAGTGGTAGAAGTTCAGCAAGCTCAAAATACAGTGGAAATGAATGGGATCGTCAACGATCGAGAGGACGTCGGGGTCGCCGTTCTACGGCAACTAGATATTATTCGTCTGGATATTCAGATGATTACGATGATGACACTTATGATTACGATCAAAATAATGACGACAATACGAATAATAATGAGTATGTGGTGGCTGTAATAGATACAGGACGAGGAACGTGGGCTCGAGGTTATGAGTCGTTGTTGGCCTTAAATTATGGGGATGTCAATGACGGATATGGAGAAGATAGCAGTGAAGACGATGTTGGACCAAGTGGACTCCTTGGTACTGCTGATCTTCGTGATCAATTGGAGGCAGTCGAGTACTTACTTTCAAGCTCTACCGCTACCAGTGATAGTTTTAAGGATAGTGATCAGGGATATTACAGCGAAGATCGCCCAAGAAGTGGTGGCAGCCGTGACCGTTCTAGATGGTTTTCGCCGACTTCACAATCAAATAGAAGGTATTATAGCGACGATGATGACTATTATAATGGTGACGAAGAATATGATGACAACAATGACAAAAATGACAATGAAGATTACTATTATTATTACTACAGCAATGACGGAGATAATGGTGACTATAATGATTATAATCGAGGAGATAATTTTTACAGGGATGATGGTGGTAATCGAAATCGCAGAAATCGAAGAAGTACTAGTGACACTAAAGCAAACGCTGAGGCATTAAGGTTGCCATACGTAGATGCAAGTAGGGTAGCGTTATTGGGCGGTGGACCAACATCGCCTTCAACTCCGCCATCAATTTATGGTGGATATGCAGCTACTCGGATGGCTTTGTGGCAAACCATTTATGGTGGTGCGCCCATTGAGAAAAAAAGTGATAAATCTGGCGACAAAGGAAATAGAAAGGAGCCTGTGGCTATTCGCTCTTCGTTCAAGTGTGCTATAACTATGGCGCCTGTGTGTTCGTGGCGTTTATATGGTAAGTATATAAGTATATATATGATTATTAGGTAATATGCTATATTAATAATCTAAATGGTGTGTTTTAGTTTCAGCATTTGCTGAACGTTACTATGGCTATTACGGTGGAAATGAAAGAAATAAATGGATGTCTTATGATCGTTCAGATTTAATACCATTAACACCTTCATTTAACGATTCGTCATTATCACCGTCTTCATCCGGGAAAGGAATTAACTTATTAGTGATGCATGGTACCGCAGACACTGCAATACACCCACAGAACTCGATGATGCTAGTTAGAGGAGTTATGCAACAACAACAGCAACAATTCGTACCTAATGGATTTGTCAGTAGTATTGAACGCCGAAATAATAAATCAACATTATTCGGAGGACGAGCTCCAGGGGGACTTCCTACACACGTTGGAGCCATAAGGATATCACAACTAGTGATGCCAGATGCAGACTTGAGTAATTCTAGAATGGCTACAGACGTAGAAAACGGTTCTCCGATTGATCATCGCCATCAATTACTCCACTCGGTTTTCAGTCATGTCACACAATATTTGGCTACAGAGTGTTTTACCAATGTAGGCGATGGAAACCGAGGTCGGGGCATTAGGACGCGTAGTCAGCGTTTACGAAAACGAAGAAGAAGATGGAGGACCAGTTATCGAGACCAAGAAAAATCAGAGGAACAACAACAGCAGCAATGGGGGGATGAACATCAGCGCAACGATAAAAGTAATTCCGGTACTAGCAATGAAAATAGTGGAGGTGGTGATCGTAGTTCTGGTGGTAGATACCGTCGACACAATGTTGATAGCAATCGAGAAATCTCTGAAAGCAGTACCAAGAATGATATGGTAGTAATGAAAATCCAGGTTAGCGACGCTTATAATGATAATATAACAAAAAATAAAAGTTGGCTTAACGGCTATTTGGGAAATTTAACCATTCCTAATAATAGTAATAACAGGAATAATAACGCCAGTAAGAGAGGAGAAAATGACGATGACGATGAAGCAGAAGAAGACGATGAAGAAGATGATGGAGATGAGGACAGCGATAACGAAAACTACGATGGAGAAGATAATGACGAAGAAGATGAAGATAGCGAACACGACGATGAGTAAGTTTTGCTGGAACATGGAAATAGTAAAATCACCTTTGATATTATAATAATTGGTGAACTTATAGTCAGTTAAATAGTGAAAATATAATAACCGAATGAAGAGTAATTTAAGGAAGAGTAGTAATAATCTTAATAGTTGAATTAGATCTTTTAAAATTATTTCAATTTTGAATTTATATTTCGATGACAAATCGATTTTATGTCAACAACAATCAATCAAAAGTAAACAAATGTAAAGACTTATTTTAGACAGATTATTAATGTATCAAAATTCTATTAATTATTATTAATTGGCATTAAATCAACTTTAAAAAAAAAAAAACCAAGAAAAAAAGTTTAGTTTTAACAATGGTACTAGTAATTAATGCTTTATACTATATAAAATCTATACTTAAAAACTCATTCTATCATCATATGAAGTTTTAATAATCAGATATTTTACTATAAGTGTTAAGTCGTGCACTTATTTTTTAATGTTTTATTATTTATAAGAAATAATAAGGTTTAGTGCTAGGGTTACAATCTAAGGTGGCAGTTCTAAGGTTAAGTTGATGAGTGATTTTATTTTCAGCATTTCTGTGAAAGAAGAGTTTTACATAGCTATATTTTGATTTCTCCCAAATTCAAAAAAAAAAAAAATTTCTTCTCCCAATGCTATTCTTTAAATACTTCAACATTACTAATTTTTTTATTTACTCATTAATATACGTGAACATATGTGTATAATTTGGTTAAGAACATATAAAGTTTCACTATAATTTTTTCACAATTAAAGAACTGTCATATTTTTAGAACAATATATTACCGATTTCGATATTTATCGAACAGTGTTATTATTCAGTAATTTTATAATTATTAATTGATACCTAATAGTTTATCTTTATTGTTGTAACTTATTATATTTTTTGATCTCTATTCTTATATTAAGCATAAATACTAGGTACCTATTTAGTCTTGATACATGATCTGCCTCCTAGGTATCCTTAACTCCTATCAAATGATTATTCAGGAACATGACGATGAGTAGAGACCAGCTTGTGGATTTCATGGCACTATGTTTTTTTTTAAATTTTATATTTTTGGGTTAACCAAGTAACATTAACTTTAATACTTTACATCAAGGACCATTAAAAATTAATTTCTATAAGTCATACAAATAAATACCGTTGTATTTTAAACATCTTTTAAAGAAAATTTCAAAAAATTAATTTCCCACTCCAGGGAAATCATTTAATGATGTCATTAAGTAGTAGCAGTACAAGAACTCCTTGACTGAAATATTTTATCATGAATCACAATCACCAATGTATATTATATTTTATGACAATGACGTTGTTTATAAAACACACAAATAAAAAATTTTGAGAACGATTTTATTTAAACATAAATTACGTACCAAAACAACCTAAATTTTTCAATGGAGAAATTAAAATATACGAGAGTAGCGTTTTAGTTTTTTCTATCTTCATTGGTATTTTAACACCACGTATATTTCAAATTCAAAATCATATCTATTTTAATTGTTGTTACTATTACAATATTTTATTAAAAATCATAAGTTTTAGTTATTGTTAGTTAAAATTATTATTATAACATTATTACCTACATGTATCATAAGTAAGACGATATAAAAATGCATCACAACAACGAAGAAACCAATTACTTTATATCTATTTTATATACTCGGGAGAATAGTTGTTAAATATCCCTTTTTACATTAATGGAAATGTAAAAAGCATCTAAATCATCATCTTAATTCACTAACCTTCTTTATGATTGACACATTATTATTTAAACGTATTTTGTTAAATAAACCATTCTAATAGTTTTTGAAATATTAATAAATACCGAAATTATCAAAGTCGGGTTTGATTGTATTTTTTAAAATACGCATTTTCTACCTACTAATTATTAATTAATTATTAAAATCTCATTTTCATTATTCTTGTGGTTGTGACCACTTTTCACATAACGTATAATAATTTATACCAATTTAGTATATAAATTATACTCAAAGGGAAATATATTTTATGCGTAACGTTAAAACATTTTACTATCGTCTATAACTTATATCCTTTTTATAGAATTAAAATACTTTTTAATATTAATAATTATAGATACTTTTATTACTTTATTAATACTTAGATACCTACATAATATTATTATTGTTTGAAAATAGTTTTTATTTGTGTTTGTCATTTTATTTCTTAAATTTTTATCATTGTTATTGTGGTAACTTTATTTTTATTCTTTATCAAAAATATATATTAATATATATATATAGCCATATAGGCATACTAATATAAAGTATATATTTTTCTGTATCAATATGACTTTATGTTGGTATATTATTATAAAGCTATAGAATACACAACTATAATATTTTACCGTACAATTTTATTATTGTAACTGTTATTGTATAGAAGAAATCTAAAAAATCTATTATACCGAACTTAATAAAAAATATAATTATTGTCTTTTGGCTATCTAGAACCAACCTATAATTTCGTACTCACATAATTACATTATATATAGATACAAATGGTGGATGAGCGAATATGTTTGCATGAACAATTTTATTTTTACTTTTAAATCTTGTATTTAAAAATTAAATATACTAGCTGTCCCTATGCACTTCACTGCCCGTTTAAATGATACCTTTTATAATATCATGATTTAAACTTTATTCATTTCATTATTTAATAATTAGTACTTAATATTATGATGTTCAAGACCAAGAAAAAAAAGTATATTATAATTTATAATCAAATAGGTACCTAATGAAACATAACACTAAGACGTGTATTATTATGTAACAATAAATAAAAAATATTAATTTATAACTTAAGTATTAGAAGAAAGTGTTAACATGTCTAAATAATCTAACTGTTAAACGAAATAATAGCTGTACAAATACGTTTTTAGTATGATGAATGTTTTCTGGAAAAATAAAAAATAGGTGTAGGTCTAAATTTTATCCAATTATTTTAATTTTTGTAACTATTATGGCGACTCTATACAAACAAACAAAATATAATCGTTTTTCAAAAAAGTCTAAAGTAAATTACAATGTAACCCCCTGTTTAAAATGTGAATGCTGTTAAAATTTCAAGTTTTGGTGACGCTCAACAATTAGTCTATAAGACAACTTATAAAAATGAAAATAAGCTTAAAATTTTTTTCGCGAACTACTTATTTAAAAAATATTCACTAGTTGATCAAATGGTTCTCGTGACTATATCAAAAATTCTCATTTTTATGTTTATATATTAAGTGATTTTTTTTATAAAACACTCATAAATTGACCAAATTTTGCTGAATATCAAAAAATATTCATCTGAATTTTAATTTTTATATATCAAAAAATATTCCATTTTTGAATATTCAGTTAAATTATGTATGCTGTCATTCAAAAATTAAAAACTTAAATAAAAATGTAACAATAAAAAATACTAAAAAATATAATATATATTTTTATATCATTTTATTTCAACTGGAAATTATTTTAAAAAAATATGAATATTTTCAAAACTATTAATAGATTTTGAAATAATAAATGTTCGTTAAAATAATCACTCTATATATAGATCAATTATAAGTATACAAAAATATAGATACGATATTTATAACTCATACCGTCATTGTTTTAAAAAGACTGAAATATCTGCTTTAATTTTTAACTGAATTTATACATATATCGACTAACGAAATTTGATTATACTAAGTAATGCAACAACCACCACTATAGCATTTAGCAATTTCACTTTAAAGATTCAACTCACAATGTATAATTTTATTTGATTTAGATAGTATAGAGAGAAGAGGTGAGGTTTTTTTATATTTGTGAGTTAGATATAAAATTGTGATTAATTATTTTGGACCCATAAAATGAATAGTTAAAACAATAAACACGCATTCACCTTCATCTGCCGCGCCGCGCAATTTAATCGAGAAAGATAAATATTGAAAATATTATTATACTTCGTTGACGAACGTAAAAAAAATATCATATTATAAAATATAAATCATAAAATACTATTAATAAATATTAAATATACAAAATTATCTTACTGACACTTCAAAATTGTTCAACTATCTGTTATGTGACATGACAAGGTAAGTTGGATGACTTAGAATGTACTCGTAGTTGGATAATGATTATAATAATTAACATCTCTAATAATTATTATTAGAGATGTTAATTATTTTCCACATACATTTTTATTATAACTTGTACATGGCCATATTTATTTTAATAAGTAGGTACCTACATGATATACATTTTAATATTCTTAGACTGCAATACCTAATACCTCAATATAATAATAGTTATCTAATCATGCGTGTCTAAACGAGGGCAATCAGGTAAAAATAGATTCTTCTTCTTCTAATGATATTTTTAAATAACTATCGCTAGCCAAAAACGATTCTGGGCGAGATAAATAGTTTTATTAAAGGATGTTTTATCATATTACTATTTGTGAATTATTTTACTATTTGATAATGCTATAGATTCGACTTATTTTCATTACCAATTTAGTTAATCATATTTTGGGTTACATATCTTTTAAACAATATTAACTAGGGTAGATATTTTTATTAAATATTAATGATAGTAACATACAAAACAATTTAATTTATAAGGAATAATCTAACAAGCCCATATAAAGTAATTCAATAATAGCCATAATAATCAAGTAAAATAACCCAATTGTGTCTACTGACCTTAATACCTTAAAGGATGAAAAATACTGTCAAAAATAACAGATACTGTATTTTTTTTTTTTGTACTTAAATCACAATTCTAAACATTTAAAACATACGTAGTTCGTCTGTATTAGAAACCAAATATTTATCACAAAAAAGAAAGATACTTTTATCATAAAAACAATTCTTTTCATACACACAGCTATTTTCGAAAAATATAAACATTTCATAAAACTCCAATACCGAAATAAGACTATTTTTGAAGCTCAATATTATTAAATTAGTATTTCAACATTTTTTATAAACTTGGAGCCTCCAAAAAGAAAGTAGGCATTTGTATTTTTAAAAATTCTCTACAATTAAATTATAGTAAATTTATTTTGAATTTCAATTTATCTAAATGTGTTTGATTATTACTCTCAACAATTTTGAAGAATAATATAGTTTTTAGAGTAAAGAAATGACTAATGAATATCATCAACAACGAAAGAGTAACTGAAGAATAAACTATAGTAAATTATGTGATGTCAATGGGATAAAAAATAAACAAAAAATGTATTTATTTGTCACTAGGAATTTTCTTTCATTTTTGGATCTCTATAAATGGGTCACATACACAAATGTTGTGGAAACAATATAAAAGAGCTAACCATTTTATATTTTCCCACCGATCACTATAAAATATTTCTGTATTATACCTTGGTATTGACAAATGCACTTATCATTTATTGCTCTGATCATTTTGTCACTTAAATGTTTTAGAAATTGCTGTTTTAAACAATACTGAAGGTCTCATATTTTTAAACAAAAAACTAAATATCTACCATATTCTTTCTTTGTATCAATATGTCATAACAATTTCTATTAATTTAGTTACTAAATTACTTCTTAGCTAATTCAATTGATTTTAAAGAATTTGATGATTAAAAATAAATTAAATAAAAAAAAAATAATAACGAACACCATCATTGTTACAAATTTATATATGTGAAATATTTACAATGTATCAAAAGATAAATTTGGTATAAAATATTTTTATGAAATGACATTTTAAAATTTTCAATACTCGATATATTGTACTTCACATTTTAGGAATTGCTAAATTTTTTAATAATTACTTAGATATAGTAAGTATATGTGCACATAAGTATTTATTTATTTATTTATTTATTTTTAATAGCAATGCTAAGTTTTAATTACAAATTCGAACACACAGATAATTAAATTATTTATAGTTTCACTTCATTTAATCCGGTTTTGTTTGACTTAGAAATTATAATTGACAAAGTCAATTTTAAGTGTTTGGTTAAGTATATAAAACTTCATTTTTAAGAATATTCTATGTTAAGTAGGTAGTTTAAGTTGTACATCAATAATACTAATAGTCGTTATATTATCAAATAAATAAATGTTATCAAATGAAAATATAATTAATATCAACAATTATTATTTATTTTTTTAATAATTTAAATGTTAAGTAAATAGACCATATTGAAAAATTATAACATGACTTCATCTGCTTAATTTCAAAGTTAAAGAGAAACACGATAAATCAATAGAGCTTAAAAATTAAGTTGTGTTCTCATTTATTATTAAAACATTTAAAAAAAAAAATTATTTTTGAGCACATGCGCAAATAACAAAATTTCAATTATTTCCAAAATATGTATCACAATAATCTTTATGAAAAAACCAAAATTCATATTGAACACAATTCCTCAAAAATATTGTGTATCAACTCTATCTTTGAACATATTGTAAGTATATTATTTTACATATATTTTTCTTTATTATTTTAATTACAAAATTATAACATTGTATATTACAGTTTTATACATAGGTTTTTAAGGTTTTTCAAAAGGCACATGACATCAAAAAATATTTCTTCAGAACATTGTATTTTTAATAAATATTGGTTATACTTATATTGGAGGTAAATTATTATCTTAGTTTTAAAAATAAATTCGTAAAAAAGTTGGTAAGTAGCTATTTGCTGTTTCTTAAACTTTAATTTTTGACGTGAACCCAATACCATTAGGAGGTTGCTGCTGGTGAGTACTACAATAATTATTAGGCACAGTTGTGTCATAAGTGACAGTGGTAGTAGTTGCTATAGGCACAGTGGCAGTTATGGAATCTGAGCTAGAGCTTATTGATTGTTGGTTATAAATTTCTGATAGACCACCCCAACGTAAGCGATATTGCCGCGTGGTCCATGTAACAACCGATGGGCGCCATAAGAGTGCTGTAAAAAACAGGTATGGTCCCATGAACTCTCTATACAACCAAGCAACTAAGTACTCGAATTTTGTGAACGGCAAAGGCCCATTCTGAAATTTAAAAACAAACAAATCGTTAAAAAAAATATAACAGTTAATAAATTTAATATATTCAACATAGTCCAATTTTTAAATAGCATTTAGTTACAACTATTTTATAATACAAGATTTCACTATTTTTTAGTATATTCTTTGTATTTATCTTATTATTTTCTGATTAAATATATAATCCAACAGAAAAAATTAAAGATAAATTAAATTCTTACAATCGCCACTAATATTTCAATTCTAGTTAGTTTAATCATATATATTCAATATTTACTATTAATTTTAAAAAATAACTTCAGATTAAATTCTAATAATATAGTTTAGTAATGTTCCTACCCAACTATTTTAGGTAATGAGCTAATAATAAAAATGTACTCTTTTCATTTCATTTACATAACTTATTAATGTTTTATCTTTTCTAGTTTTTTTTTTTTTTTTTGTCCTACATTCCCTTTAAAATTAACAATAAGTCATTATTAATAAGTTTTGGAATATTCAAAGATTAAAACTCACAGCAAAAATCCTAGAACTTAGGTATGAACATTTTCAACTTGCACAGAAAATATTTGTAGATGGCAAAATCAAATAAAAATAAAATTTAAGTTAAGCTAAAATAACCTCACTTAATTAACATAAAAGTATGTCAACCTTAATTTTATTTTTTATTAAAAGAAGAAAGATTTTCACAATTACTTAACATTTAGTTATAAAATTAAATAAATTTAATCTTGAAATCAATTCGAATACTTAGATTAATTAGTGGACATTTAAAAATACATTTTTAGCGTTTTGAATATTTTTCTTTAAATGAACAATTAATAAAACTTGTGTTATAATTTTTGAATTGACTTATCAAATAAAATATTTTATTAAACAAAAAGTTTAAATATTAATGAATAATGGTGATAGAATTTAATTACATCAATTAAATTAATTAATTTTTTTTTAAATTTAACAAATAATTTTAAAAAACCTTTAATTTTTTCTAACGTTTAAGATATTATACATTATGCAATTTTATATTCAAATTAAAATATTTGTTAAAAGACTAGCATACCTGCATCACATTTAAGAGAATCCAATCTAATAAGAACCAAACAAGCACATGTATCATATAGAATGCATAAGGATCAATTGAACCCCCAGAAAGTGTGTTTGCTGCCCATGCAGCACATGCGCCTAAAATTAGACACTCAGATAATGGTTCCAATATAATTGTGTGTGGTACCATAGCTATCCTAAGTTTGACCCATCTGAAAAATTAATTGATTTTAATTTATTTACAGAGAATCTACTATTTAAATACAATTGTATTAATTTAAGCATTTATTAAATAAAATAAAAATAACTAGTATCTCTAAATTACCTTCTAAGACGGTCTTGAAATTTACTTAGTTCAATGCCTCCATTATTTTGTAAAGCAGGTCGACTGCTTATAGTAGTGCGCCAACCTCGAGCAACGACCAATTTGGCCATAAAATAATCTTCAGCAAGATAACTAGCAAATGCTTGCAAACCACCACATTCATCCATTGCTTGCTTACGCAATAGTGTTGACATACCTGTATGGCATATAGCGCCTACAAGATCAGCCATTAAATACACTCGTGCATGAGCAGTTCCAAAAAATACCTTAAACACAAAAAAAAATATACATTACAATACATTAGTCAGATTCCTTAAAAAGACTACTTAAGAGGACACCACATCCGCCACACAAACGTATAACTTCGCAAATTTCCGTTCAACCAATTTAATGTGTTTATTTAGCTTAAGTATTAGAATAAAATAACTTTTTATCAAACTTAAAAATAAATGCATTACCTATGTTCTCTCGTCGGTTTTAATATCAATATTTTAATTTTTAATCAAGTAATGAGTATGTAAAATATTAATATTTAAAAAAAAGTTCATAATTCCTTCTGATATTTATGCTGAATACACAAAATTAGTATTGAAATACAAAAATTTGACATATTCTACAATAGTAAGACGGAGATGGCACATACAGGCGTGGCGTCCTCTTAAAAAACCTAATATTTTAATATTCATACTAAATATTAATTATGCTACACCATATGCATTTTTTTTAGGTTACACGTTATATTTTATTACAACTTTTTCTGTAAAACTTAAAATTAGTAACGACTTATGAGATAATGTGTAGTAAAGCACATTGGAAATCAATCAGACATTACTTATCCAATAATATTAAATTATTAAAAAATAAAAACGTTTAACAAGTTTTATATTTATTTTTATGATATTTGTTAACATACGTACATACTATATTAATACATCAAAATATATACAGACGTGCACATAACACAATATATACATTATGAAAATATTTTTATACACATACTATTTGAATATTTTTACTTTATTCATATACCTATTATCTAGTCTTATTTTGTCTGATTTTTATAAAGAAGTATGAATAGAGTAACATTAACGAAGGACACAATCATACAGAGTGTATAGACAATAGGGAAGAGTACACGATATGAACGCAAAACATTGGTTCATTGTTATATTTTAAAACAAGCAGACAATAAACAATATAATCATTAAACAATAAAAATGGTTCTAACATATAAACTAAATATCAGATAAAATACATTATTTTTCAAACGTGATGTGTACCCGTCACCAAATCTTATCGAATCTTTCAGAATTCAGATGAATTGAACGGTTTGAAGGAGTAGCATCAGTGTTCCAATATTCGACAATTTATTAATTCAATTTGACCAACTAAACTTGGAAATTTTAAAAACCACGCTTGGGTTGACGATACGACATAATAATCAACGACTTTGAAATATAATGTTTGACATTGTTATCGATCAATGAGGCGCCAAAGACGGGAATGGCAGACCATGACCTATCTTGATATTTTTGTTTAACTCGATAGTTTAAATTAAAATTCAAACGTAAATAATTTAAAAAATATATGTTAAAGGTTGTGATCTTGTTATCTTAAATCAAACGTACACAGTTGCAGCCCTGTAACATATGAGATTGTTTTGACTGGACTAATAAAAAAATAAATAGTTTGACCTAAATTATTTAAAGTGTTAAGTTCAATATCAAATAACAGATACCTACATATTTTATTTTAATACATGAAATATTTTATTTTCTAATTATAATACTATTACTACTAAAACATTGATACGTAACCCTACATTTTAGATTGTTCAATAACATTGATTAATCATCTTTAAACGATTGGAAGGCTAAGCTTTTGGAGGAGAATTAAATATGTATCAGATTGCTGTTTTCTTTATTTTTAAGTCAGTAAATAACTAACCTGAGACCACTGCTCTCTGAAACTCTTCATCACTGAGATTCACTGATGGAATCAGATTTTTTTTCACGGAAAGTTCAAAAAATTAAATAAACAATTTTTTATTACTAAAGAGTATTGCACTCACAGTTAGTGGATCCAAAGGGGAGGGCCGATTGTGCCACTATACCGTGCAATTATGTCTGCTCTAAAATGTGCCTCCACTACTATAAAAATAATATGTATGGACTTAAGTTTTTTACCACCCGACAATCGACAATTTCAGCAATAACAACGAACTGGAGAAAATAAAATTACATGGAAAAAATATTTTTATAATTTTTATTCAAAGTGGTATTAGCACCACTGGTAACAACTTTAACGTTATTACCTATCATGGAAGAAATATGTGCAGATGATTATTTCTTCAAAATTATTTACCTTCTACAGAAGTTTATGATTGCCAATACATTAATAGCGTGGTGCATTAGTATTATGATTTCTACAGACATATACGTCGACTGCGCGTCTCATATCTGTCATAGAGCAACACGGTAAGAGAAAAACATGTCTAATATTCATACTTAATATTATAGGACTAGATTCCAGACATTTTTTTATAACAATGCTGTCTCCAACGTCTCTTTTTCCGTTGAGTCCATAAAAAAATTCGTTCACTTGTACCTGGTACGTTTTTTTCCACGCTGGTTAAAAAACAGAATTTCTAGCAAATCTTTATGGATCTACAATATAAATCCGTTTATGAATTTTTTTATAGTTGGATACTAAAATACTATAATTTTATTATCAGTATTGCAATAGTATGAGAACGATGTAACTAATCACATTTGTTGATAAAAATATATAACGAATGTGAAACACTGATATCAATGTTTTCTACTATTTCGATTTTTCAATCAACTCATCTTAATAAGTAGTAGTGGTATCATCATAAAAAATTATTTTATTTTATTATGAGTCATGACTAATGAACAGAAATTAATATAGAACACAAGTGTAATAGGTAAAAAAGAAACTAATAACTAATAATTAATTAATAAATACCAAAGTACGTAATAATATGTAATAACAATCATTACACGGAACTCATAAGGACAACATTCAGTCGGCATTGCACACCTCTTACTATCAACAAGTAAAAACTATTATCATATCACATACCTACTTTAGAAAAAGTGTATAATTTTATGAAACATAAGTCACAAATAAATCTTAGGACATAAAACAATATAAATACAAAAGAATGATTCTCAATATTAAAAATAATTTCACTGTATTTTATGTAACCACTAAGTATGTACAATTAAATTTCTAACTGAAGGAAAAAAATATCATTTTTATTGTAGAATTTGATGACTGGAAAAAATGACATATGCCTACAAGAAAATATTATTATCAGAACTCAAAATTATATGAATATATAAGGTGAGTATAAATTATAATCATATTAATTATACATATATACATATATATATATGTGTGTGTGTGTGTAAATATAAATTAATTTAGCCTCTCAAAGTATTAAAATCAACATGAAATAAAAAAAATAAAGAACAATTTATTATGATTCAAACAATTTTAATAAAATTAAAAGATAACAATAAAAACTTATAATAAGTCATAATAACAATTATATTTCCCAAAATGCTAAAATAAATGTTTTTTTTTCCATAAATAAAAATATTTTATAAAATAATAACGAATTTCATTAAAAAAATAATATATGTTGGTTTTTCGCATCGCATGAACAGAATACACTAGTTAAAATAATAAATAAGTACACGTTAAGGGTGTGGCAATGTGGCATCCCCTTAATAGCTAATTATAATAAAAGCTATGTTTATAAACTTACTAAGGTATTTAAGTAATGATTTTATCATTTTAAAATTTCTATTATTCCCTATAAAATAATGTATAATATGCATGTATATTATTTAGGTATAATAAAGAATTGGATTTCTTAGGTATAATAAATATAATACAAACACTATAGCAAATGTATGAAATTAAGGATAATATTTTAACAGTAAACACATTTTTTTTTAAAAAAACACTTGAAGTTATTATAAAGCAATACACTATTTGAAAAAAAAAACATATTTTTATAATCATTTTCCAAAACAAAATATTTTTAAGAGACTTTCAATATAATATAATCATAGGCAGAGGCTAATAACTAATAGAATAAAAACTAGTTTTTTCTGATAAAAGCTAAAAATTAGCAAAATCGATTGATAAATTTTTTATACTTGATTTTGATGGTTCATTGGAATTCATTAAATATTATAGTCATAACTTAAGAATAAAAAAAAATTTTAATTAATAAAATCCTTATAAATATCTTGAAACCAGTCTAAATACTTAGAAAACAAAATTGAGTATAAATAATGATAATTTAAAAACAAACACAATATGTTTCAAGTTTCATGATAATTATTTTTTTAATTATAAAAAAATATAAATAAAATCATTAATTAATGATATATTGTTATTTTACAAATAAATAAATTCTGAATTGTATAAAAACAATTTTGGTAGAGTTAGGTTTATCTTTCTTTTATAATTTGTAGAAGCAAAACTTGTATTCAATTTTTAAACCTTTGGTATGAACATTTTAAAGTTTTTAAATTGTTAACTATAAAATAATTTCCATAATTTCACAACGTTGACAATTTTTATTAAATTACTATAATTTCAATCTCTCATGAAAAATTATTGTTAGTTTACACATAACTTATAACATCTTTAAATTTTTTGAGCAAGTATACATTTTTCAGTTGACATTTATAGAAAAATAAAATAAAATTTTGAATGTCTTTAAAGACGTTATGATCATCAAGAAAAATAATTGCAATTTTTAACTTTTGACTTCTTTTTACAAAAAATTATTTTTACTTTCTTATCTAAAAATAAAATTGTTTGATGTTGAAGATTAAATGGTCTTAACTACACCAAAAGTTTATGGAAGATTTCAATAAATAAATAAAAATGTATTGTTCTAAAAACACTGATCTAATTTTTATAAAATGTTACTGTAGCTTTGGAAATATTCTTCAAGGGATATTATAAGTTAGATTTAATGTTCAAATATAATATGAACAATAAAAAAAAAATTTTAATTTAAACATATTTAGTAGTCTTAGATGTAGCCATTATTGTGCTATTCAAAAGTGACCTCTTATAAGCTAGACTAAACATATTCTATAATACTAGAATCCTGGATACATCACTGTTATAAATACTTAATTTTAAAGAAAATTATAAGCATCTTTAAATAAATAATACAGTAAAGTATAACATATTTGTATTACATTACTCTTATTTATATTTTATACATATCCTATTTATTACAAATTCTCACTGTTAAGGCAGTCAAATTTTTAATAATCTGAATGAAATAAAATTTTGATTTTGCTATTGTTGTTTAAATACACTATAATATCATACCACAGTAATAATTTAAATAATTTAAATATAATATTAATATTTAACTATGTTATATAAGATATATTTTTTTAAATATTGTATTACACTAATATATCTGCTTTCTACTTTATTCATTATTTTATATCTATACTAATATAATAAATCTGAAGAATTTGTATGTTTGAATGAACTAATCCCATTAACTACTAGATTATTTTAAATAATAGTTTTATTGATAAGTTCCTTAAGACCCAGATGGTTTTTAGCATATTATTTTAACCAATATAGGTTGATATAAGATTATTTACACATAAATACTTCATTAGTATAATGTTGACTTTTTTTTTTAAAAAAATAAACAAAAACTGAATCAATTGTTCTAACAATGACATTAATACTTGATATATTAGATTAGGTTAGGTTCATTAAAATACTTAATACACTTATCACCAAATAGAATTTATTTTATTTACTACTTAATTAAGTAAAGAGTAATTATGTTTAAACGCATGTCATTTAAAACTATTTATATTTTAAAAGCAGATTAACTAAACTTTTAACTAAAATTTTATTAAAAATCAAATTCTTTAATGTAAATACATAGATAAATAATTTATATTTTGAAACTGTCAGTCAAATGAATTATTTATCATGAGGTCAAAAAATAAGTAATTATAAGAATTTTATATCAATTATATGAGTCATAAATTTGATAAATTATCTAGAATATTAAATTAAAATAATTTATATTACATTTTTCTCAGTACATATATTTTACTCATACATGGATAATAATTCCAATGTTAAATTTTTTAAGCTATACATGGCTATCAAAATTCAAAATTATAAAATTAACTATTTATTAAAAATTCTACAAATAACAAATATATTTATAAATACTTACTTTTTCTAAAGTAGCAATAAAACGCCGTTGTTTGCGAGTTTGATGTTGATATTCTACTTTTCCATCCAATTTTAAAAATGATGAAGGATCTGTCGTATTTTCTGACAAAGGTGAAGTCATAGACTCGGTTCTATTATCAATTCGATCACATGTGAATGGTACTTGATGTACAATTGCAACATCATCAGCCATATTATCAACCATATCACAAAGTGTATCTTTTTTCACTGTAAATGATAGATGTTGATGAAATAAATAAAATATATGAATTAAAATTGTTTAAATGTTAATTCAATTCATAAACATTACTTTGAAAAAACACTACTTATATATTATGTAGGTTAAATAGCTAATAAATAATCAACAACCATGATTGATGACTTAGATAATAAATAAAATAGCTGATAACAATTATATAATTATATTGCATGAACAAAAAAAAATAATATTTATTATTTCTATACTTTTTATTGAACTATCTGATATGAGTATCAAAGAATACTTGGCTGCTTGGTATGCTGCATGTACATTATTGATTTTTGGATTGACACCTACTTGAGAACCACCTATATAACAATTAAAATTATACATAAATTTTATTTTTTATTTTCAAACCATAATGTACAGAAAAATATCAAGAAAAAAATATTCTATAAACTCAGAATAAAAATAAAAATACTTGAACTAATAAGAAATAATTTAATAGCAAATATAATTAAATACCTAAAAAAAGTCGAGCATCTACTGATGGATACATTTCTAATAGCCGATTAGCTACCATAGCAGCAGGATCATTTTTGTCCATCACACATATTAATACTTCATACTGTAAATGATTATTACCATATACTATTATACAAAACAACTTATATCGCCTTACAATAAAAAATAATATTACCATTGGGTATTCCATCTGAAAGTATGAGCTCAAGTTGACAAATAGATTAGGATCAACACCCAATAATGGTTTCAATATACTAACACCCGGATATTGTTTTTTATTATTTTTCGGCAAACCATGTTCTAAAGATACTAGAGACGGTATCGACTGAACAGGTGATTCCGGTTTGGGCTTTCGATAGAGTTTAAACTTCCTATTAACGGAAATAAAGTAAAAGATTATAAATGGTATTTTTTTGACTGTAAGCACAATGAAATAATGAAACCATTGAAATACAAATATCGATTTAAACAATTATGCATAAAATATACGGTAATTACCCATAACATATTGCACTTATGTGCACCAACCAATAACCGCACCAGAATATCAGCAGGCCGCAAGCCAATAGTATGTCATAATCGACAAACATTAGCGGTGGTATCAGTTGCATCGTTTGTTCTACCGCTTCTCCTTACTATTGTATCCATCTACGACTTATGTCCTCTTCTGGCACTGGAACACCTAGACACAACTCCGCGTTCACAAAACCGTTTAAGACGCGGCGTAGGTATCTGGTTTATCGGTAGACGGTATTAGGAAGCGTAATGTCGTCGTCGTCGTCGTCGGTAACGGGTCAAGACACCGCAGGAATTCAACGCCGTTTGGCGGTTCAACGGCCGTCCGTCCGTCAGGTAGTCGCTGCCAGTCGTCGGCGAATGACAAACGAGATCGCCTCGCGGCGTGACGAAAACAAGCTAGGCCAACCGAAAACGCATTTCGTACGGCAACGGTGATTGCGCAACATCTTTATTATCAGTTAGTACGGTTTATAGAAAGGGCGAAACGCGTGCGGTGTCATTGAGAAACGAATAACGTAACATGACGCCTCGTGTAGTACTACGTTAAATTACAAATAATATCATATACATATACGTACGATGTATTGCATGGACACTACCGAGCGCTGACCGGACGAGCAAAAATCGAACGATATCGTTGCATAACGCTTGCCCGAAGTCTGATAAGCATTACCCATTAATTATCATTTATCATTATTATTACTATTACTATTATCATTATTATTATTATTACTGTTGCCTCTATATATTCTATTGTTGTTGCTATAAATTAGTGAAATTACACATCCGGCGAGCGTGATAGCAGCGAACGGGGTACGGCGTTGGCGCGCTAAATAGATTACAGGAGGTAGCTACCTACCCGTTACCGACAGACTCGTGGTGAACAACGATAATAACGCTCCGATCGCGTCGTACCGAGTCTCCCAGATGATTTTTTTCAATCGCGATTACAAAAATACCGTTTTTATTAATATTATTATTATTACGTAGGTTATTTAATATATTATTTTACATTATTATATTATATATTTAAAATGTTATTACACCAACTATCGTTATTATTGTTTTTTTTTTTTTTTCGTATTATTACTATCACGTCTGGCGGTGATCAAAATTGATAACGTTGTCTCCGGAGATCATCGTAAACCGTGATCGTAATAAATACAGGTACTTTTTATTGTGATTTTTTATTAATAATTGAAAACATCGATATCATAATTTATAATAATGTATGTATAACCGCCCGAGGACTCGGCGTCGCGTATTTTGAAAAAGACGTGCGACTCGCGTGCCTACCGAAAAATGCACTGATCGTATGTCGCGTGAATGTGCGTGTGTGCGTGAGTGATTGTACCCCGTACTACTCTGTGTGTGTGTACGAGTGTGCGAGTGTGCGTGTTTTGTATAAAATGCAATAAAAAAGACTTACAGGCCCCCCCCCCGTCGACGTTAGCGGTGGACGTGTGTGCTGTGTGAATCGATTTAATTAGAGAACTTGCACGCGCGTGCGCGCATAGGAGGTGTACGTGTGTCGTGTACTTGTATGCACCGCGTGTACATGTATATTATGACATGTAATGGACGTGTGCAATACACTATTATTATACACGCGATGGACGTGAGTTGGGACGAAAATTAATCAAAAATCGACGTCGGCGTGCCGACGGCCCGAGGACGAATAATGTAGTTTTATTATTACCGTCGAGCTCGGCCAATTTCACAAAAAGCACAAGCCCTTTGTACTTTACGTATACGTACCTACCTACCTAATTTGGTATTTATTTGGACGGCGAGTTTTGACGACTAACGATGATATTCACGAAATCATTATAATAACATATTGTGTGTGGGCGCCGTACGATTTTTAAGACATATTTTAATGGATAACATTGAATTCACCAGAAAACAGTTGTTGTACGCAGTCCGTCAATGGCTTATCCAATGTCCATTCATAAATGACACGAGTTGGCAAAGCGGGGCATTGGCCCCTCAATTAACTAAGTTAAATATTATAATTACACAATTCATAATATTGAGCATACTTAATAATCACTAAAGACCAAACCACGTATAAAGTGTTTTCGATGTGAATCTAATCGTTTTAGAACATATATAATTAATAATTATCATCATTATCGCATAATTTATTAAAAGAAATGTCGTTGATATTAATTATCGTTAGTTGAAACGTCACGATTATCAACATAAAACACCGTAACTCGCAAGATGATAAAATATACTCCGTTCGTTTAAGCTTTAAATACTAGCAATTATAATTAACTACAGTTTCGAAATTTGATTTATATGTTTTATAAATACATCGGAATGTGAACTATGGAAAATATTCAACTTAAGGATAAAAAAATTAAAAATTTGTAGTGACATTAAAAAATAATAATAATTTATTCTTATAAATTACGAGTATTGTACTTTAAAAAAAAAATCATGTTTAAATTTTTTATTATAATTGAATAATTTAAAATTTTCTAAAAAGATACCTTGAACAATGTAATAATAAAATACAAGGTATTATATTTTTAGTTCTTATAAAATAAATTGAAATTAATGATTTAATTTATGGTATCACATACCATAGATTACACTTTAGTGTATTTTATCTATTCACATACTTATGTAATCCAACATAAAATAGTTACTATCATTTATATAAATATAACTGCTATTTAGATATTTAGAATTATAAAATAAATTTATTGAAAGATGATGGACTGAAATAATTCAAAAACAATCATTCTTTGTTAGAATTCTGGAAATATACGCCTGCTATAAATATCCAAAAATTAAAATTAATTTTCAAAACAACGTATTAATATATATTCTGATGATTCGATTATGAAAATTATCAAATCTGAGTATCGTTAAAGCGAGTATAATGGATGCTCACTAGGCTCATTTATAACATTTAACAAAAACTTCAATAAAAAATATGTTGTTTTAAAATCACAAATCTTTACTAACCTTGAATCTTCAACTATCATAGTATTAAATTCAAAATTAATTTTCCGTTCTTTTAATTATTAAACTTTTTAAGGGTTTAGAGGATATCACTATACTGTCTTCGTCTTACAAACATTTAACAAAGTAAATTTGTGTTCAGCAAAACCAATATTGTGATGAGACTTTATTAGCTTTTATACTTAGAATAAATTGATGTATTATCGGACTTAATGGTAGAAACATTATTTGTATTTATATATAGTTTTACGTTGGATATTTACAATATTTTAATCGTGTTATTTTTATGAGTATTATGAAATTACACATTTTAAATACCTGCTAATAAGTTGCTTAGCAATAAAAATATCGTGTAATTTTCAAATAATGTTCTTACCTTGAAATTAAGTCATAAGTCTTTTCGCTCCTATGACTAATATTACGGCTAATATATTAAATTGATTTCGCTAAAACCAAATTTATTATGTCTTGTTTATACAACGGGTATAAAAGTTTCATAAGTTATTTTAGATACTTATAAGTTTGCATTGACTATAAAACTTAAATTCCAAGTAATACATTGTATAAAAACCTCAAAGCTTAAGACGGAGAGATATCACACGCACATGTCAGATTAAAATTTCGTGATCGCAAAAAAAAATGTTTACTTTTCATTCAAACAGATAACTTCAACATTACATCATAACGACTTCTTCGATTTTCATTCTGAAAAAATATTCGGAATCTCCATAATATGTACGAAAGACCGATCAAGCACATTGTTATAATTGTATTTAGATAATTAAATATTTAGATTTGAAATTTTGCGTATTTTCGTAAATTTTAACAAAATTTATTACAGTTTAAATTACAAAAATTAAAAATATTGCTCGATCGATCTCATGTACATATTATGGAGATTCCAATTATTTTTTCAAAATGAAAATCGTGATAATTGCCAAAACGTATTGTTGGAATTAAAAACAGTAGTTTTTGATAAGTAAAACGCACACTTATATGAGGCTCTTTTAATGGTATTTTAGTTTTATTGTAATAATAATTATCTAATAATGGAGAAATATAAATTATTATGCTTTGTAGTTTGTACCGCAATTTTTATTTATCATACTAATTTATAGTTATTTTTATGGTACCTACTCAAAATATTAAATAATGAAATACGTGAAATGTACGAAGAATAAAACTTAAGTGAAGTATACCTATATATTAATGATTTTATACTTATTAGTTAGATATATTCTTTATTCGCTTTAGCAATAAACAAAATTGTAAATTATAAATTTATACTGTAACTATTATTTGCATAATTCTCAAGTTATGTTGTACCTTTATTAAAATATATAAAGTATAAATATATATTTATATCTCCATATATTAATTAACTAGTAATTTCAATAAATTGAACAATTTTAAAAATCTAGAAATTTTATGTTAATTTAATTTGATCACAACTGACTTATCATTTTTATAAATTAAAAAATTTAATAAGTCGGTCTGCTGTATATTAGATTTAAATTTTTCCTAGTCATTAGTTGTAGGTCAGTAAGTCACTGATGAATGTGTTAAATTTGAACTCAATAATGAATCATTCTATACAAAAAACGATTATGCGCAGATCACAGAAACTTCCATCGTTGAAAAAAAAATTTTAATTAATATAATATCATTATAATAGATATAAGTACAAACTACAGAGTACTACTCTTATAGTAATGTGGCAAGTAATAAAACTAATCTTTTCAAAAATAAATCGAAATCGCGTATTCGTTAAGTTGTATTGTATAATAAATTAATTGTTATTAACTTAAGTTAATGCTAGTGTATGTGTAATAGAAAGGTGTAAAAATTGTAAGGTTTATGGCAGAAGCGTATCAATAGCGAGAAGGATAATTCTTCCTCCTCCATCAAGCCAAATTTTTCGGACGTAACCAATTTTTTTTCAGAAACGACTTTTTTTGATCAGTTTCAATTTTTAAGATAATCACTTGATTTCTAGCTTTAATTCTCATTTGCTCCTACACCAAATAAACTAAGTTTAAAATAAGTATGCTCAAAATATCAACTTGTTCAGCTTTGTCAATTGAATGATGACTATACTTTTTAATACATATACTATTTGTTAGAACTTAAAACAATATATTATTTCAAAATTATGTAAATGGTAATTTGTCATTCACCGTTCGTGTAATATTCGTAAACAAATTATCAAATTGTATTGTACAGTTTGTAATAAATATTCAACAAAATATTAAGTTAGAACAAAAAAAAAAAACTCACCCAATTGAAACTTCAAACATATTTTCTTCTAATGGTATGGACGTGCTACCTTTAGTATATTTACGATTTTCAGTTGAACCAGTTTACAGTATAAGTTGTAGTAGGTACACTGAAAAGACTGTATTTGAATAGTGCACCGGATAGTGTTACGACTTACAAATAGTACCTACCTTGTAACAATATCGCGCACTTTTAACACAGCTGCGGTTAATGTTGTAATCAGCCGGATACGTTGTTTGTTACGTATCTATTGCAAATAACTTAAAAAAATAATAGATAAATCATAATCATAAAATCATAAAAATATTATAATACGCATAAATGGTATTTATTAATATTAGTCATGGGTTTTTAGTTTCAATACTTAAAAAATCGTATTATATATTTAAATTTTATTTTATCATACGCAGTCAAATTTTTAATGTTTTCTTTTTTTTTTCAAATTAGAACAACCATACAAGTCTGTTTACGTGCGTATATTTAATATTTATATAATGTATGGTATGTGCATATGATGTAGGTACACTTATATTTTAGTATTTAGTATAAACCTAGTTACCTGGTTATTGATATATTATTTATTTAATTATGTACTAACGAGAATTGAGAGGAATTTGATAACAAATATGCGTGTGATTAATAAGTAGAATACAAGTAGCAAAATGTATAGGTTATTACTTATTACAGAATAATTACAG